TTCTGACAAAAAATGAGATATTGTACGGTAAATCAAACACACAGCAGACTAAGTAGCCTTTGAAGAATAAACTTCATACACGAAGGTAATGCTGTTCAAATATCCACTGATCCTAAAAAAATGTGTCTGATCAACTAACAGATAACTGATCCATGGAAAGCTTCCTGATAATCCCAAGCACATTCCCCATCACGTCCCCATGGGCTTCATTAAAAGGTGGGTTGCCATTTGAAAACACACACCGGCCTGTGATGAACAGCTCTCACCTGCGCCAGAGGAGCGAGGGCGCCGAGCGCGTGCCGGCCAGGTGGTGCCACGTGGTGCAGGCGGCCGGCAGCGTCCCGGGCATCAGGCACACACACATTCGCTCTATAAGACGCACAGACATTTCCCCTTACTTTTGGGGGGGGGGGGAGTGCGTCTTATAGAGCGAAAAATACGGAATATTATTCAACTCTCCTAAGAAAACATGCACGGTTTTTGCAGGTTGTCGAAGAACAGTTTCATGACGTATGTTTTACAGAGGTAATCTCCAAAAGACGTTTACTTATTGTGTCTGAGGGAAAGTGCACGAAATCTTCATCACATCATCCACATTCCCAACAGTTGCCATCGGTTCAACTAAAAATCTGTCAGGGAACTAATGAAGATCAGTTGGTCCCTTCACTGATCTTTAGAGTCTACTGGAAAAATGTGGACCTCTAACAGTTTCCATGTGAAATGCGCTTTCTCGGGCATAAAGAAGATCTCCTACTGTCTTATTAAAACCAAAATGGGTTGAAGATATGTGGAGCTCGGTTTCATTCTCTAGATCTCTAGTCCCTGGAAGAAAATGACCTTGATTTCTGCTGGGGCCTCGGAATATAAAGAATGACTGCAGCTTCTTGGCTGCACGACAGAGAGGAGGTCCAAAGGGCGATGCAGCGCCGCTTGCGGAGGAGAAGCGGCCGCTTGCCAATGGCGTGTGCCGTCACAGCGGCTTCCCTGCTGAGAGAAGAAAGCCCCTTATGAAAGCAGCTAGCCTTGCGACCCTGCAAAAATTTCACGTTGCTAGTGCCATCGGCTGCATCTGCTCCCTCAATATGCTCCTGGACGATGGCCAGGCTGAGTCCCTCCCCTCACGCCGGGCTGCGCTGCCCCCTGAGCTTCACGGCCTGCGGTTCGTTTCATGGCGTGGCCCTGTGTTGCATCTCATGCATTTCTGGGCCACCCAACAGCCAAAGCGCTCCGGGCGGGTTGCAAAGATGCAAGGCCTGGGAGCAAACAGGCGAACCTGACAGGGAGCACTTTGGCTGGCGGATGTATAAATGCAGCACAAACATGCATATGGTGGTCTTCATATATATCTGTGTGTGTGTGTGTGTGTGTGTGTGTGTGTGTGTGTGTGTGTGTCAAACCGTGTGTGTGTGTGTGTGTGTGGTTACGTATAACTATAACAAGTAGAAGCCAGATATTTGCCCCAAACTAATTCGGACCCCAAGGACATGAAAATGAACGCAACAATAGTATCATGGAATGAATGCTGATCTAAATGAATGAAAAATGCAGTGAATTGGGTGGACTCGAGTACGGGTGGAATTTTGAAACAAAACCAGGAGGAGAGACCCACACGCTCTTGCTGACCACAGGCGGGATTCTTGGCTCCAGTGCCATCGAAGCTGAATCCAATTTCATCCAATCCCGGCCAGCAAATGACTTCCTGCCCCGCTTTATCTTGCGTGCCGGCGTAGCCCATTTCCGGTCCTCGCGGTTTCTGAACAGCAGCCAATTGTGCATTGATTAGTTATTCATCTTGCCGGCCCTTTGTGAATCATGTCATTTCCCCATCCCTGTATCATGTCCTTGAAGGAGACGAAATGCCTCCCCGGAGATGATCGACCTGCTCAGCAAGCACATCGCCACGTGGAAAAAGGAAGCGGCGAGCTGTGAGAGGCGCGAGGGAATCCTGCCAGCGAGACGTTGGCGGACCGGTTGCCACCGCCACCGCCAGATGGTGAAGGGAAGCTGCACCTCACTGGGCGCGCTCGAGATGCCGCTTCATCACCCTGGCGGGCTCAGGACGGCGAAGCCATGCAGGCGGCATGGAGCGACTGCGCATCTCCACGGCCAACACCAGGTACCGCGGTCCACTCAACAGCTGTCAGAACATACGGGGAGTGGGCTGCTCGGCAGCAATGCCTGCCTAGGCCAGCGCTCTCTTTCCAGAGAGACCAACACGCTGCCAGTGGAAAGTCCACAAGCAGAACATGAATGCCTTTCTCAGGTGTTGACGAGGAACGGGTGGACATGAACATACTCCTCCAATATGCCTAAAGCCCCTGATTCCCTTCCCCTCCTCGTGTGTGTCAAATCCCACTTTAGAGCTATCCAACTTGGTGGTCCTTGCAAGGACTTCCCTCTTGTTCTCTGTCCATCTTCCAGGAGAGAAAACTCAAGAGAGTTCCCTTCCCTTCCCTTCCCTTCCCTTCCAAAAAGACATGCACGTGTCTAAAAGATCTATGTATGAATTACATTTCTGTACCACCTGATAACCAGAGCTTTCCTTGGGAGCTTGACAGGGTGTTTAAATACTAAAGACTTTCCTCTTTTCTCATTAGGGTCCCCTGATCAATCAGCTTTTATTTACTTCTCTGAGTTGCTATTTGCCACATGCAAGCTTAGTTCTTCCAAGTTTCTGATGCAACACATGAAAAACAGAAAAGACCTTACAGTATACATCGCAACCTTTATAGGAGCAGCCCAACTGTAAGAAAAGATTGCAGCAGTTTAAGCAATAGAAGGCATATAAAATATTAGAAACATTATAAAAAATAAAAGCAAGACTGCTGAAAGGAGAAGCTTAAAAGCGGCATGAAAGCATTCAAACAGAGCGGCTTGGAGCAGAAAAGGCTTCAGAAACCGACTGTGCATCTCCCTGGGGAATTCCATGGATGTGGGGCTGCCACGGAAAGGCCCTGTCCCTAGAGTTTGACATCTTAATTCCTCTAGATGATAGACCCATGAACAGGGCATCAAAGGCCATTTTAAAACCCAGGCAGGTCTGTATGTAGGCTGCCAACCCTTCAAATCCTACTAGTTCCCAAACCATTTAGGTCTTTAATGGTAACCAACCACACTTTAAGCCGGGCTTAGAAACGAACAGATAGACTGCACCACTGGCCTACAACGCATGTCATGCACAGCAAGTCTTTGGCTGCTGAGCCGTTTTTACAGGCAGAGTATCTTACGACGGTCCCCTTTCGCGTTCAGTGCCTCCCACTCAAAGCAACAACTACCTTGCTATGGAACAAAGCACCTCTTCTTAAGACACAGACCGTGCTTAACTGTGAAGCATCTCACACAACTGAGCACCGCCTCCCTCCCTCCCTCCCTCGCCCCTCTTTCTCTCTCTTCTTTCACAGATCTCCTGTCGTAGCTGTTCAGAGAACTTCTGTTGAATTCAAGGCAGTGATTTGCTACAAATAATGTGATTTCTCGCTCTCGGAGAAAGCCACGGATATTCGTTTCATCCCTAGCAGACAGTAGAAATGAGCAAAATGTGTTATGTGAGACAGATGCCTGCAAGTCAAGAAATCCCACTGACACACACAAATCCAGGTGCCCGAAACATATGATCCGTGCCTCGTACCCAGAGCCGTGAATCCGCGGCACGTCCAGTTCTCCGCCAAAGTCACTCCTGTTTGGTGTTGACGACAAGTAACAATGGTCATTCCCACTGTTTTGCTCTTGGCTTTGGTTTTTCCCTGCCACACATGTGCATTATCCAGACTGAGTAAGTTAAGATCGATTGATGGATGACAGGCACAGATCATCACATTAATTGAGTTTCGTTTTATTAATCAGCTTTATTAATCAGACATTTTGACTGAACCGTCGTGTGAGCTGCTGCACGTCGTGGTGGCATCCGAATCAGAGATGCTTCTGGAGGAGGAGGCGTGAGGAGTGAGCGACCCACGCCTGGGCACTGTTAGTCCCTTCGGCGTGGCCCGGCCGGCGGCTTTCCCCAGCCTGGTCCAGCGCTGGCCCGAGGCACTTCTCTGCCCGGAGAGGCAGATGCGAGGAGCTCGGCTTTGTGTCCTGCTGAGCAGAGGGCCATCCTTGATCTGAAAGGCTGTTTGTGAGCGTGCTCTTGTTTGTTCAGATTTCATTAAACCCTTCCTTTCTGTGTTTTCTGTCTGCCAAGGACCCATCTTTCTGCTCTCCACTTGTTCATGGGGGTCAGACTTTCTGTTTTTTAACCCCTCCTCACACACACACACACACACACACACACACACACGTAGAATTTCACAGAGACCACAAGACTAGCTAAAGGTTATCTAAAGGAACGTCTGCATCCATATATGCCCGCCTGCCCCCTACGATTGGCAGCGGATGCCCTTCTCCGGGAACCCTCCGTGAAGGATATAAGGAGGGTGAGTACTCGGAGGAGGGCTTTCTCTGCGGTGGTGCCCAATCTATGGAATGCGTTCCCCAAAGAGGTCCGCCTGGCGCCGTCGTTATTTGCTTTTCGGTGCCAGGTGAAGACCTTTTTATTTAAAAGTTATTTCAACTGTTAATTTATTATTATTGTATGTGTAGAGTTTAATATATAGCCGAGATGGTACCAGTTTTTAAATTATTGATTGTATTTTTATGTGTGTTGTGAGCCGCCCCGAGGCTTTGTTGCGATGGGGGCGGCATAGAAATGTTTTAAATAAATAAATAAAAGTCTTGCACAAGCCTTGCACAAGAGAGCTGCGAGTCAGATCCGTGTCGGTGTTGTCGTCATTCCTTCGCACCGATGTCCCACTTCTTCCCCTCTGTGTGCAGCCTCACACCGCAACGGGGCTCCATTTTCCGCTCACAACAGCAGCCCTCGAGCTGGGTTCGGCTGACAGCAGTGCCTGGCCAAGCCCAACTCCGTGTCCACGACCAGGCCGGAGGAGCTCCATGGATGGGTGCGGACTAGAAGCCAGACCTCCGGAGTCCCAGGCCCACGCTCTAGCAGGCAGCTTTTTAAAACCGCCTTTAAAAATAAATAAAAACATTGCTAAAATGTGCAGATTGTAGATGAGACACCAAAAGAGGGGTACCACTTGCAGGAGACCAGTTGCTGACATGCGGGCAGGCGTGATCTAGATGTAAACGGCTTCCCTCCACCCTTCAAAATCATTGTTCTAGTAATATTTCATATTTAATGTGTAGGTCTAACAGATGGATCAATTAAATCCATATGATAAATTGACTAAGATTTCCTTGGATGGATGGCAGCCCTAATTTCATTGTCAGCCACTGAATGGGGGGAAAATAATTAGAAGGAAGGCAGGCTTCAGTGCAAAGCGGGAAGATTACTCTTCTGAAATAAAAGTCATGAGAAGCCCAATGCATTTTGGTTTTTAAAAAATTCCTCGGGATCATTTCTCTCTGGAGAGAAAAACACCGCTTTCTTTGCAGAGAAAGACCATCCAACAATTCCTGTGAGGAATTTTAAATCAACAAACACTAGCCATCTTACAATTCCTATTCCACAGGAAAAATAAGCTTTCTAATTCAGAACCAGTTTGACACTTGCCTTTCTTCTCATTTTTTTTGTTTCAGGTTGCCCTGAGCTGGTGCTTCCAGCACCTCTGTCCCAGTCCATGGAGAGTTGCCCCTGCGGCACTGGATGGGCAGCCAGTCTGATTGTTGCAAACCAGCCTTGCAAGAACCCTCTGGGGGGACCATCACTCACTGGCAGAGCATCTCCCTCGGACACCGAGGACCCAGGCTCACTCCCTGGCAGCTCCACTGAAAGGACGTGGGTGGCGTGGAAGACCTCTGCCGGAGACCCCAGAGAGGCCCTGGTGGCCAACCGCAAGGAACAAAGCTCCCTGACCTGGAGTGGCAGCTTCTTCTCGTGCGACAAAGACCAAATGTCCCAGCTGCCCCGTCGCCAGATCATTAGCGAGCCTTCAGAAGCAAATGTGAGGGAAGAGGCATCAGAGAGGAAGAGAGCGCGCCTGGCACTTGCTGCACGGCACGGCAGCTGTTTGATCTTTAGTGCTGACCCCTCCGTGGGAAACCTTTGATGACCGATCTTGCCTCCCCTTCCCGGGTTTGGATGGAGGCTTAGTCACTTTCACAGTTCCACTGGCTGCAAAGTCGGCTGCTCCCGTGGTAAAACACTCTCCCCATCTTTTGAAGAGTGACACTCCAAAGCTCCCAGACACTGTCTAAATTTGGTACAGCCGGGGAATCACTTCCTCATTGTATCTCAGTTGAGTTACAGCAACAGCGCCTCTGTATTTGGATTATAGCCCCCAGGTGACAAAGTAACATGCTTTTATGCTTGGCTGGCGGTGGATGTGTGGATCATCCCATTGTGACTAATTTGCTTAACCCTAACTACCCACACAGCTCGGCCTTGCGAACATCCACGGGCTCGATTCTCACTCACACACTCTGCCGCTCTTCGGAAAAGCCACGAACGACCCGCCTTCTGTTTGTCTGAGCAATGCACACCCGTCATCAGTTGCAGGGAAGGAAGGAGATGCACATGAAATAAAAGAAACTGCCAACTGACAGATGGCGATTCAAATTAAAATACAAGTCAGAAAACAAACCTACGGCAAGGGATGGTTCTTGCATTCACCTTGTTCCTAAGGCAAGCACAGCGAATTCCCAAACTTCGTCTTCTGAGGCAAGGAATCACAAAATTCAGTGCTGCTGCTACTTTTTCATTGATTGCAATCATTGGAATAGATGAAGTCAACCCAGCTTCATGTTGTTCCCCTAAGTGAAATGCAAGCGCCTCTTAAGAGCAAAGAACATGAGAAGATCAATGTGGCATCAGACTAAGTTTCCAGCTCATATATAACAGAAAAGCTGCTGTCTCTAAGTCTACAACAGGGTGTACAGGGACCAAATTCTGTTTCGGAGAAGCTCTTGAGGATGGTATTCCAATGAAGGGCACGGCCAACGGAAATGGAATACTGAAAAATATTGGCTTATTTCAGCTCTGAGTGCTTTTTTCAGTAATTAAGCCTTACAAAAGGCATTTTAAATGGGGGGAAATGATCAGGAAACTGCCCAAGGATTGGTGCTTGAGGGAAGGGGTGGGGCGAGGAGAAGCAGGCGTGGCCATGAAGGAAGCCTCAGGTAGGAGCTCTGGTGGCTGGATTTCACTCTTCTGCACCACAGATACTCAACCATGAAGCCTGAGAAGACAAATAAGACCCAGAGAGATGTAATTGGCATGAAATACTCATGGCGGGTGGCTGTCATGCGCTGCGGAACTGCTTAATAAACTCGTGGCTTCTCAGGTCTGCTTGAACGTGTCCCAGATGTCTTCCACAAGGTTTCTGCTGTCCCTCGGCTCAGCCCAGAGGAGCGACTGAGCCTTTCCAGAACGCCATCCTGCCCAGTCAGCTCAGCACAGGTAAAGCACGTTCTTCTGCAGAGATAATTCGTTTAACAAGGCACTGATTGCCTTTCTGTGACCCAACAGCTCCCCAAACTTAGCTGAAGGCTTCAGCAATTCCATCTCCACTTGGTCTTCCTGCCACCGCACCACCGAGCCGTCCGTAGCTCGGAAGCTGTGCTTTTCCCACAAGCACAGGCAGATTTTCTGAAAAATGTCACAGTGCCTTGGTCATGATCCAGCCAAGACTTACAGACCCACACTTGCAGTTATCACAGGATGCAGTAGCATCGCGTTCCCCAGCCTGGTGCCCATCAAATGTTTCGGGCAACTATGCCTAGCATTCCTGACCATCGGCCACACTGGTTAGGGAAATGGGTGTTTGTTGGACACGCTGTGGACTCAGGATCAGAAACGGATGCATCCTGACCTTGGTTCCCATTCAATTTCTCATTTTGCAAACCTTCATTTCCGGCCGGTTCCACATCAGTGCATGATTTTCTGTGTTTAAGTCTGCCCACAAGTTCATATACATTTTTATGTGCTCTTTTTGCTAATGTAGCATTTTGCAAGCTACATCTTCTATTACGATGTGCTTCTGGGCATAACTTCCGCAGTTTTGCCTCCTCTTTCCCAGAACATATGGATATATATGCATATATATGAGTGCTTTAAAATAAAAGTCTTTTCTTTTTTTAAAAAGTAGAGAATATGATCACAAAACTTGGAAGAGTTTATGTTTCAGGACCCAACTGTATTCTGGTTTGCAAAGAGCTAAAATGGGGAATTCTACTAGAAATTGAGGCAGGATAGATGAGAGCATCCCAGCTTGGTGCTCCTTGGCATGCGAAGGATCCAGCTTCCCTGTGACGACGCATCGTTGTCTCTGATGGATGACAGACAGTGGCACCAAGTGGCGCCCTCGCCGAGGGCCCCCAAGCCCTCACGGCCCCCCGGGGACCACCCTCGAGTTCAATTCCTCTGAGTCCTCCACAGATTTCTCTGGCGTCGCTACTGCTAAAGTCACCAGTTAAACTGCGGCAGCTGAAATATCTGTCTCTGGAGAAAGGAAATAAGCAAGCAACCCGAGTGTGCGAAGGTGTGGGAGGGTGGCAAGAGGAATCGTTGAGAGCCTGGCAAAGTTTGCCTGCATCGCTTTGCTGCTGGAACCCCCCTGCATCTCTCTGAGTGACAATCCACGGGGCCTTGATGTTGACAGCACGGAGAGCTGCCACAGCTCTCATTGGTGCCCACGTGCCTTGCTCTGATCAGTGCCTGATAGGAAGATGATATTAAAGATGAGGATAAAGGAGGTGGAATTGAGAACATGCCATTCAGTGTGGCAGTCAAAGAGAAAGCAAGATGGGTCTCCCTGCTCCGGAGAGCTTTTTGAAGAAAAAGGGAAATGGGGAGCAACACTCGTCTTTCAGTGCCTGCGAAAACAGGGAGGGATAAAAGGAACACATGAAGCTGAAGTCTGACGAGTCCTGGTCTCCCCATGAAGGGGCTTTGATAGCTCGCGTGGTGCAGGCGTCTCTCCTCTTGTCTCCATTCCAACACAGGAGTTCAAAGCAGAGCAGTGCCAGTTCCAGCTTTCAAAAGACCTTTGGGCAGGACTCCCTCCTCCCACAAGTCTCCCTTCTTGCCCACATTGTGTCAGAGTAAAAATACTCCTGCCCATGTTCAGGACTGAAACCAAGACATGCCCATGTGACTTGCAAATGGAAACAGAACTCATGCATCCCTAGACAAAACAGGGCTCCATGGACAGCCTCCCCCGTCCTTCCATTCATGGAAGAAGGTGGCTCAACTCTGTCCTTCCTTCTGAACGTTGCAGAGAAGAGCTGCACAGTGCGATCAAACTCCCTCATGGTCAGAGCGATAGGGCAGTGGGACTGGCTGCCTGCAGAGGCGGTGGGCTCCCCCACACGGGAGACACTCAAGAGGAAACCAGGCAGCCATCTGGGTGGGATGGTGGAAGATGGCGTCCTGCAACAGCAGGGGCTGGACCTGATGGCCTTCAGGGCCCCCTCCCACTCTACCATTCTGTGATTCTATATGGACAACCAGAGGCACACAAGGACTTTCCAGCGATTCAGCGATCTTGTCCAGCTTTGAAGGAATGTTTAAATCATATAGTCAGGTAATAGACTCTGAAGAAGCCCCTCCTGGTCTTTCGTGTTTCTCTTTTTCCAGCGGCCCTGTCTGTCTGAGGCACATGTCCATGAAACTAGCCTCATCTTTCAAACCCGGCCTGCCCCCAGCTAGGTTTTGGAGGGTGTTTTAGAAGCCACATCCATGAAACACCAGGGAAGGGGAAAGAAGAACCAAGAAGAAAGAGGACGGTGCAGCTTGCACAAAGGCTTTTTCCTCAAACGCACGGAGCTTCCCAGATTGCTGCTTTGGCGTCACTCACGCTGGCTGGCTGGATGGGGTCCAGTGGCTCTATTGAGCAGGAGCTCTGAGAGGCAGCTCCACATGAGACCCTTTTCTCCCTGACATCAGCAGCCTCCTTTTCCGAGTTGCAGCATCACGAAACCTGCTCCCACACAGAGCTGGACGGTGCGGTGGCTTTGCAGCAGGACCGCCGAACCAAGAACAGCGCTCGCAGCCCTGCCGTTAGGGCGGCTGGCTTTCCGCTGATTTAAGGCAGGGCGAGGGGAAGGGTCCTCAGATGCCTGTCTGGGGCTGCAGCCATAACCAGACCCCCAAGGGGCTGCCGTGAGGATGGTGCCGAGGCCTCAGCAACTCGGCCATTGCTGGGAGTGACTTTTCTCCGGCTGTGCTGGCTACCCACGTGCTAAGTTGCGGGTTTTGTTCCTGGTGTGCTGTTCTGGCGTTTGTTTAGGACCAGGATATCTGAAACAAGCCTTCCCCCTTGCCAGCCTGCCCAGTCCCTGAAACCATCAGGTTTTATTTCTTTTTATTATTTATTCCTATATTACATTTTATATTGCCCCATAGTGAACTCTCTCTGGGAAGTTCACACCAATTAAAACCATAAAATACAAGGTGATAAAATACAATATAAAATTTTAAAGTTTAAATCTATAGTATAACATAATAACCAACCGGCATCTAGAACAAGATTTAAATAGAGCATGAGATATAAAGCAGAAACTGAAAAGCTGAAATGCTTGGTAGAAAAAAGGGAGACGCTGATCCCACCACTGGGGTGCCATAAGGAAAACCTCCTTCTTGGTTGCCTCCCTACCTCACTTCCTTTGCTGAAGGGGCTCAGAGAAGGACCACTGGAGAGAATCTCGGTGTTCAGGCAGGTGTATATGGGAGGAGATGATCTTTCAGGTAACCTGGCCCCAAGTGGTTCAGGTCTTTGAGTGCTTATACTGGCAGTTTGAATCGGGACTGGAAATGGAAGGTCATCAGTGCAGAGAGGAATCTACTGGCACGGTAGGGCCATATTTTCTAGTCCCCCTTGGCCAGCTGCTCTGCTTTGGAGGAGCTGAAGTTTCCAGAACTTTTTACAGCAATCCCACCTATATTGCGTTGCAGCCATCAAGACAAGAAGTCATTAGAGCATGGACACCTGATCTCCGTCTAGAT